CTTTCGGACATGTCGCAGTCAGCAGAGTCAGCAATGTGGTCTGTTGGGCTTCTCTCTCCCTGCGTTGAGCTGCCTGGCCAGACCATGTCCCCGGATTCCGTGATCATGAACCATCTCCATCCCCAATCGCCATTCCGGAGCTGGTGCCAGCACCACCGCCACCACATGAGTCCAAAACAAACAAAAACCAAAAACTGCAGGCGCTTGGCTGAGCAGCGGCTAGCAGGCACCAAGCACATGAGACATGAGGCTGCCCTTTTCAGAACTTTAGAGCCATGAGTCATGAGTGGCGCCATTCCCTTTCAGCCGCAAACGCCTGAACATGACTCCGAAGCTACAGGTTCATAAGCGAGATCAAATCCGAGTTGCCAACACTCTCCGGCCTCCGGCACTATCAGTGACTATCAGCGCTACAGCCGCTACACCTGCCTTCTGCAGAAAATTGCTGGGCTGGAGCGTTGCCAGAAAATCACATCACAATTCACAACCGTCACAACTGACAACCGTCACAACCATCCAAGCATCAAGTCAAGCAGCTAAAAGACGACACTAAAGCGCTAAGTCTACTACGGTCTGGTGACCAGAATCGCCTGTCACTGGCTGGGCCTGCTGAGCTCTGCCATCTTGTTGGGCGGGCTCGCTGTCATGTTGTTACTGCCCTCGCTGATGAAGGAAAAGCTTGAAGCTGACACTGCACAACGCCCGCCCCCCAACTGCTTCTTCATCTGTTGCTTGACATTGCTCGAGCATGGCTCCAACCTGCGGCAAATACATAGCATTTCCAGCCAACTTTTTGAGGTTGGCTGCAGACAAGTCTGCCAGAGCTCCCTGGATGGGTGTCGGGAAGCCTGGCAAACCCTCAAAAACAGGCAGCCCCATGACCAGCAAGTGCTCCAAAGGAACCAGGCAGCGCCCCTTGCCAGTGTTGTGGATGCAGCCATGCGTCACCAATGTGGGAATGTATGATCCTCACACATGCTCTCAAAACTAGATTTTAAAATTTCGAAAGGAACAATATTGTTCTACAGTTCTCGAATCTGTCAGCCCCAAGCTGAAAGCTGAAAGTAACCAAGCACCAAGCGCAACTCAGCACATACTGTATCATACTGCCATTGGCAATTGCAAACAAAGCGCGCGCCTGCTGCAGGTCCGAAGCCAGGGTTCTGATCCAGATCACAAATGAGTGTTTCTTTGGCGAACCTCGTCATCGCCTTCTTCAACCGCAGCTGCGCGCCAGCAGGGTAGAAGCGAGTCCATGATGTGGAAATCGAAGTCACTGGAACCTGGGCCACCTTGCGGTTATGAGCCAGCCTGTTCAGCTCTGCCTGCAGAATGTGTTCTGGGGCTGTGTAGTACACATTGCCATCCAGGACGCACTTTCGCATGTGCTCAGCCTTGAACTCCTCAATGCTGCCCACAAACTCGTAGTCCTTCCGGATGCCTTGGAGCGACTGCATTCAATGTTGAAAGTTGAAAATGAAAACACACAAGGTGACAACACTGCACTTCACACCGCGACAAAGGTCATGACTCGTGGAACTGTGAAACACAACAGCTGCAACAGCCTGGCCAAGTCAAACTGTCAAACTTCAAACTACAAAGGCAAACTGCAATCACAAAGCAACAGGTTTTGATGAAGCCAGGAAACCCCAAGTGTATCTGCGGCCTGGCCTGCGAATGGGATGGCCAAAGTCAGATGGTTCAAAGAGAGCTTCCTTCAAGTCATACAGATCATCGAGCCACCACTGAAGCAAATCAAAGGGGAAGGTCTTTGTGCACTCATGCACGAGAAGCACAGGACGAGCCTTCCTGACATGGCAGGCCCAAATCAGGAAGGCCAAGTGGCTGTCGTGATCTGCGCCGGCTCTTGCACCCTGCGGGCTCCACGCCACACAACTGGATCCAGCGACTTCTATCGTGATGGGGTCCGGAAAGGGGCAGCTGGCGCCTGCCTGGAAATCACTTGCCCTGCGCGCGCTTGGCCAAAGTTAAAGCCTAGCTCTGACCTCTCTCTCCAAGTCTCCAAAAACAAAATGGAAAAACCGCAAAAACTCTCTTACTCTTGCAAATTGCAACACAGCGCCCGCCTACAACGGGCACTGTGGGCATAGCAATGCCCTGTGTCAATTGCCTCGTTGCAGTTCTTCATCAGCCAATTGCTCAACTGACCCAAGCCTTCTTCAACTCGGCCTTGCTCCTGGAACTTGCGAAACTTGTGGAATTCCGCCAAGGCTGACTCTGACAGCAGGTCATGCAAGTCGCCAAAAATGTGGCCCTTGCCAGCCCACCTCTCCGAGCTCCAGCCTCTGGCCACTTCAAGCGGGCCACTGCCGTTGTCGCAGGACCAAGCACAATGAAGCTTGGGGCCAAGCGGCTGCTTGCCGAACCAGGGCAGCAATTGGTTGGCTGCTGCCAGCAACTGGTCCAAGGCAATTTCAGGAGTCTTCATGCCAGAGTAGCTGGTTCCAATGCAAATGCCGCGAGACATGTTGGCCAGGAAGAGGTCTGATTCATGCGGCTTCTTCAGCACAATGTCCACGGCTCGCTCTGCCCAATTCAGAATGTCATGCAAGCTCTCTGGCCCATCCTCAACCTCATCACACTGGGGGACACACCCGCTCCAGATTTGCCCGTCTGTTTCTGAGTGATGTCCTGCTAGTGGGTCAGGCTCATCATCTTTTGCGCTCGGCTTCTTCTTTGCCCTACGTGTTTCCATTTCCATCAAAGCTGCAGGCCTCTTCAACCCCTTCTTGGGCGCCATTCTGATTCTTGCAGTTGTGAAGCACACGCAACAAGGAACTTCAAAGAACCAAATCACTGCCATGCAAGTGCATCATGCAAGCTCACACTGCACGCAACATGGCCATCAGCAGGCAACATGTCTCCAACCTGCAAGTGTCAGGCATGAGCAACATGCCAAAAACCATCGCAACTCAACTCAACAATCAACAAGTCACTGCGCATGTGTCAGATTGCACTGCTTTGCCCTGCAATGCGTTAGCCGTTAGCAAGCCTCATCACAAAGCGCATGCCGAACATGAAGCTCAGGCAGCTGTTTGATGGCCTACAGGATTTTTCTAGACTCTAGACGCTTCCCCCCGAATAAGGGCCTCTGACTCCAGTTGAGTTGCACTGCCCCTGAGGACCCCTGCACTGCGCAGGCCAGTCACAGGGACCAGGAGCACACTTCAATGCATGTGCATCAAGTTGCGCTTGGAACAGCTGATGGAACTGGAACTGTGTTGATAATAGGGCTGGCGCAGCCTACAAGTTACTACACAAGCTGCTCCTACTACAATCAGTGTGTTCCTAGCTCTACACTACACGCTCCAAGATGGATGCAGCTTGGTCTGGAATCTGGAGTACACCAACAACAATCTCACAATGTCAAAGCCTGTCACCTCCACACAGCACAGTCTGTGACAAGTGATAACCACTCTTAACATTCAAACAGTTGAAAGCAATCTGAAAATGACCAAGCCAAGCTTGCAACTTCCGCCGGCTCAGCCTCAGCTTTCTTCATTTGCCTGCAGCTGCCCCTGACTGAGACTTAACCTTTGACTTTGCTGGAGCTGGCTTTGCTGGAGCTGGCTTTGGCTCATTTGGCTCTGCTGCTTCTGGCACTTCTGGCGACTTGGCAGACTTGGCAGCCTTGGCAGGCGCCTTCTCCGACTTCTCCTTGGCAAGCTGGTTTTTGGCTGCTTGGAGCAACTTCTGCATGGTTCCCTTTTGCTTCTTGCCGTCGCTGATCAAATTGATCAACTGCTCCAAGTTGCCGCTCACAACATCCTGGCTGGAAAGGGCTGCGTAGCGAAGCCCAATGCTGACCTGCTCTGTGAAGTCTCCAACAATCCACCCAGAAGGGATGTATACCAGTTGGCCTTGATCCTGGACAAGGCTGACAATCTGTGGCGTGTTGGCAACTCCGTTGAGGGCTGTGATACGCTGCTCTGACAAGTGACGAAACCATGTGTATAGTTGCTCCTCGGTCTGCACATCCTTGCCGACCTTGCGCGCTGCCTGAACCAGCCACCCGCACGGTGCTGCGAACACCTTCCTTGACCCTTCCAGCAGGTACCTCACTTGCCCCATGCCGTTCCACTCAGAGCTAACAAACGACATTCCCTGAACACAGCCGAACAAGGAGAGCTCTGCAGCAACCTCATCAAAGTTGCTCAGGTCTGGCGTCACCCATGGCGAAAGCTTCCTCATGAAGGTTTCCACCTCCGCTTTCAGCGCAGCTGGGCGGAAACTGCACTGAGCACGGCCAGTGCTTTTGGCTGCCGAGGTTGTTGGGAATTGGGCTTTGAAGGCTCCCACATGCTCAGTGAACACACCTCCTGTCATGCAGGGAACTGGCGGCGCAGACACCAGGCAAGGATGCATGCCATCAGGCGCATTGGTAGTCAAGGCCAAGGCATCTGCGTACAGGCTAGCCTTGCAAAACAAGTGCCCAGGGAGCTTGTCAACGCGGTGGCTCTGTGTCTGGTCAGTGATGCGGCGCCTCGCGGTCTCCTCCTCGTTCTGGCGCTGCCGCTTCCTCTCCTCTTTCACAGCAGCTTGTTCAGCCTTGCGTTTGGCAGCCTGCTGCTGCCTTTCCACCTCCTTCTCCCGGCTTCGCTTTGCAGCAAGCAAATCATTCACAGCCCCCTTTACTGCTTTAGCTTGGGTGACCACAAGATTCAAAGCTGCTGTGATCTTGACATGGGCTTGGTCAATCTCATCAACATCATTCTTGCCCAACAGCGCGGCAATCATAGTGTCCTTACAACTTACAACAATCCAAATCCAAACCAAAACATGCAACTTGGAGACTTGGAGTGCCTGTCCTCTGAACACACACAGCTCAACATGCTTTGCCCCCCTTGACATCCACCACATGGTCAATCAACATGCGATTCATTAGCACGCGCACAAGCTTGCTGCACGGGCTCGCAATTCACAGCCTCACAGCACATCGCCAATTGACTATGACTTCAATGGCTTCTGACTACTAACCACTAAGTAATAGATTGTAATTTTCTCTCTGAAGCCTGAGCGTCAATCTCAGCAGGGCAGTGCAGCAAGGACAAGTCGCCTGGAAGCATCGCCTTCTCCTGCTCTGAAAGGCTCTCCAAGTAGCTGCACCATTCCTCTGCGTCCTTGGAGGTTGACAAGCGGCCCATGAACTCCAACTTGAACTTGGCCAGGTCAATGAAGCGCTTGAACTCATCAGTGTTGTCCTTGGAGCTGCAAAAGTCCGAGACCTGCTTATGCAAGCTGTCGCACTTGAGGTCCAAGCTCTTGTAAGTCTTCATGACTGCGTCGTACTTTTTCGTTCTGTATCGACTGATGTCTTTGATATTCTTTTTCTTGTTCTCTGGCAGCCCTGGCAAGTCCTGCTTTTCTGGCGTGAACAAAGAATCCAGCCCTGCACTTGCTTCGCACATAGGAGTGCTTGGCGCTGCCGCTGCCTGGTCGCCATGCATGAAACCGTTGCTGGTTGCCCCGGATTTGTTGCCGATGGCAAAATGCGAATCAGTCCATCTGGGCAAAGAAGTGCAAACTGTGGAGTCAGCCTTCTCCATGTCCTCCTGCTTGGGGTTTGTCATTTGCTTGTGGGCTGCAACGCGAGCTTTGGAATACCCGCTCACGTCTTCTCGGAGGATGTAGTCTTTCACTGGGCGTTCAATTCTGAGTTTTGAGCACTCCGGACCCATCTGGTCCTTTTCGCGTTCGCTGTCGTTGGAGAACTCGGTCCACATCCTGTCGCTCTCTTCCCAGGACCGCTTGTGCTTTGCCTGTGAGACATCCATCCACTGCTCGTAGCACATCCTTGCCAATATCAAGCCCACATGCTGCATGCTTCAACAACCACTTCAGCCTGTCCAGCAGTGCAGCAGGAATCTTGCTAACATGATCCAAAACAAGGGAGGCAACTGATGCAAATTTCAAATTGCGGCAACATGCGGCAACATGCGGCAACATGCGGCAACATGCGGCAACATGCGGCAACATGCGGCAACATGCGGCAACATGGGCAACATGCCCAACATGCGGCAACATGCGGCAACAACATGCGGCAACATGCGGCAACATGCGGCAGCCAACAGCATCAATCAAGCAGCGCTGGGGTGTCAGGTATCTTTAAAGCCTCTTGAGTCAGCATGGGGCAACATGTTCAACATGCCGCACGCAGTCGACACATGAACCAGGCAACATGCTCAAAAGTGACAGCATGAGGCAAAGCGGCAATGCGAACCAACAGTGACACATTTGGGCGTGGCTCAACTGGCAACATGGGGTAACATGATGCAGCCGCAGCATGAGGCAGCATCATTCAGCATGAGAGCATCCCGGTGACCCGTGACCCTGGTGACGGTGAGAGCGAAAACCTGTGACATGTGGCCAAGTCTCATCTGGTCCTTGGAGCCGCGCCTGACCTCCCTGGATCTGTAGCATGTCTCCTGGTACTGAACCCAGTTGAAGCGCTCCCGACCTGCCCTTCCCCCTGCTCTGGCACCTACCCATGAACTCAATCAGCATCTTGGAGTACAGCGTCTGGGACGAGCATTGGGACAAGTAGAACTGCAGGGCGTTTTTGCCGCTCTTCTCTGCGTCGCGCTTCAACGCCTCTGCCTCCTTCTTGTGGGCACTGCAGAACTTGCTCTTGGCATATGTCTTCTTGTCGCATGTAGGTGACAACCAGCAAATGCCTGTCTTCAAAGGCTGCTCACTGAGAGGGTCAGTCACATGCCTTTGCGGCGGCCCCGGCGCCGGCGCTGGTGGCCATCGGCGCCAAAGCAGGCAGCGCCTGAGCAGCCTGGTCAACCTGGGACACCCCCTGCATCGCATCCTCGTCAAAGTCGAGAACCAAGGAAGCTTCCATAGATTCCATACTGGCGGCTGGGCGTGCAACAGGTCGGTCAAACAATATTACTGCCAGCCTGAAAAGCTTCACAATGATCAAGCCGCTGTCGCTAACTAGGACACAAGGTCACAGCCACAACAACTCGACATTTCAATGTCAACATGCACATCAAACTTGCTGATGCACATCAAGTCCAACATGCTGAAGCTAGCAACTCAACAACCACTGGCATCAAGCGCTTGATTCAGCATGGCACAGCAGTCCAACATGTCCAACATGGCACAGCAAATTCAACCAAGCATTGCCAGCATGGTAATGAACACCTTTTTTCACTCTCCAGATGCCAGAAGCCCCCGGCCAGTCTTGTCTTCTTCTTTGGCTTTTTGCCTGCCAGCGCAAATGTGGCATACTGGGCGAGACATGGCAAGAAATCTGCTGCCCCATGCCTGAAAACTCCAGATAGGTCCCACAACTGCAAATTCTGTAGTGTTCTGGAAAAATGGAAAACATTGCCAGGGCCACTAATTTTGAAATTCGTGGACCTTCGTGGACCTTCGTGGACCTTCGTGGACCTTCGTGGACCTTCGTGGACCTTCGTGGACCTTCGTGGACCTTCGTGGAACCTTCGTGGAACGTTCGTGGACCTTCGTGGAACCTTCGTGGACCTTCGTGGCCTCCAGGGGGGTGTCATCTTCGCCCTTTACATAACCTTCGAGGACCTTCGTGGACCTTCGTGGAACCTTTGTGGGGCTGTGTGGAACCTTCGTGGGTGTAGTGCTGACTATCGCGGGCCTCCCTGCTGGCTTTCCATCACAGGCAGAATCAACAAATGGAAGCACAAACGCAAAAATAGTGGACCTGAAGTGTTTTTCAGTTTTTGCCAGATTGTGGTGAAATCCAAAGGCCACCCTAAACCCTAAGTGCAGAGACCGCCTTTTTCACGCTGGGACCATGTGACTGGCTTGCCTTTGGCTGGCCTGTCTTGGGCGGCTGGCCCTTCCATCAATTCCTGCTCAGTTGGCAGCTGTGGCACTGTGGCAGCCTTGCGGGGGCTGTCCAGCACTTGCCAGTTCAAAGTCCGCTCAGCGGCTCATCCGGCTCATCCCACTCACAAGGCTCCAGGCATCCAGGGACTCCTCCAGGGCGTCCTCAATGACCTCACACTCACTCTTGCTCACCTCAGTCTCAGAGGCCTCGGAGGCCTTGGTCCATCTGCCCCAATGTTACCAGGTCTGATCCCTTGGAAGCCATGGAAGGAGGCGGCGGCAGCGGCACCGGCCGCCACTACCATTGCCGCCACTGTGCCCTTGAGGACTGGCAGTGGCAGGACTGGACTCGGCCTCTTTGGCATCTTCTTGACCTTTGGCGTCATCGGTGTCATCGGCGCCTGCTTCACTGTCATTGCCGCAGTTGCCGCCATTGCCGCCAATGTCTTGGCCTTGGCTGCTGCCTTGGCCATCGCCTTCTGCTCCTTCTGCTTCTCCCTCTGCTTCCTGTTCTTGTTTGTGTTCTTTGCCTTCGGCGGCGGTGGCGCCGGCGGTCCGAGTCTTGGTCTCGAAGGCGCAGGCGCAGGCGAAGCAGCGATTGGTCTCTGCGGCGACGGCGATGGCGACGGCGGCGACGGCGGCGATGGTGTTCTCGCTCTCGGCCTCTTCGCAGGCTGCAATCTTATCGGGACTGGGGGCGGCTTGCATGGCAAAGGCGGCGGCGGGAATGGTGGAGGTGGAAACGCTGGCGGAGGCGGGGGAGCTGGGATTGTGAACTGGTAGTTCACAGTGAGGAAGCTCACCTGGACCTGCGCCTGGCGGGCCGAACTTGTGATCTCCGGCTGGGCCTTCTCATTCTCATTCTTCTTCTTGTTGTCAGCCCGGGCCCTGAGCAAGGGTGGCAAAAAAGGAGCTCAGTAGGTTTTATTACCGGCTCAACACTTGACTTCCTCTTGGCTTGCTCTCAAAGCTAAACCTGAATCTGAACAAAAACACAACTTGCCAAATTTTGCCACGCAGCCTCTTCCAAGGCGGGGACTGCTGGAAAGAACTCATGGCTGTGCTCAGGCAAGGTCGAAGGTTGGTAAAGTCATGTAGCCGCACATGCGTGATGCACGATGCACATTGGCTGCACAAGTTATTGCTTGCTGGCTATGATGTACATGTTGCGCGCGCTGTGACACATGACTCACACAGCATGAATGCCACCCCATGACCGCCAAAGCAGCCAGTCCCATGCCTGGCTTGAGCTTCTATGCGAAAGGCACACACAAGGAACATGCCATGAGGTCACAATCGGAAACATGCCAACAACAATTGGTTGGTGCGAGGGTTCAAACTGCAACCTCAACACGCCACACTTGCGCGAAAACCAACTCCAAGACAGCTTGAAAGTCATCACCTGCTGAGAGCAACAAACTAAGCATGTCCTCTGCCCTTAACACTATCTTTGTAGAACCTTAATTTTACTCTTCCTTCATTCCTTGCCACACCCATCCCAGCCCGATCGATCTGAGCAACACACGCCTGGCCTTCTGCTCGTGGTCACTGCCCGCTGCCCTTTGTCTTTGTTGGAAGACGATCAAGAACTGGAAGATGAAGACGAGGAATCTGAATCTGAGGAGCCTGAGCCAGAGCCAGAGCCAGAATCAGAGTCTGAGTCAGAATCAGACGAAGCTTCCTTCTTCGGCTCAGCAGCGATCACTGTTGTTGATGCCTTTGCCGCAGCCTTTGCCTTCTTTTTAGGTCTATTCGCTTGCCTTGGCTTCTTCCCTTCGTCGTCAGTTAGAGCTCTTTCTGCTGGCGGCATTTGCGCGTCCAGCTCCTGGTCTGAAGGCAAAGCGCTCAGCGGCGCCTTCTGAACCTGCTTCTTGATCTCTTGGTGAGCAGAATGGCTTCGACAGGACTCCTCAAGGCCTCTAATGATCCACCACTTCATGCGCTGCACAGCCTCATGGCGCTGCCTCAGTTTTGTAGTTGCTTGAGTATGTGCAGAGCATTCGTTTTCCACTCTTCTGGTGATGACGGATGTGACTGCGACGAGGGCAATCAACTTGCAGCCCTCCACGTTTGTGATGCTTGAAGCTCACACACCCCCATGTAAAGGACTGTTCCAGCCTGAATTTCCCCCGCCCTGGGCCAAGGGCGCCTGCCAGAACCTGTAGAGCTTCCTCCTTTTGGCTGCTGCTTGCAGCGCCCATGTCATGCTCGAAATCGAACGCCTGAAGCTTCGAGCAACTTGTAATAAGCCTCAGGCTGGCAATGCTTGAACATCTTGACTTCATGCTGCCGCAAAAATGCCCTGAAATCTCTTTCGGTTGTGAGCTCCCAGCAGCAAAGAATGTACTGCTTGCCAATGCTCGCTGCCCCCTGCACCAGGTAAAGCTTGCGGCTGGTCTGAGGGATCTCGCCAGCAGGTGTTGGAAGCGCTTCCAACCTTTTGGCGTCTGCCTTTGGAGCAACCTCCCAGCTGGGTGAGAAGGGTGTAGACACAGCGTTCCGCAGCAGGACTGTCCTGGTCTGAAAGGAGGACAAAAGCTGGGTTATTCTGGACCGCCCAGGAAGTCAATTGAAATCCTGACCTCGGGTTGGCATGCAACTCCAGTCTCTGCAACATGGAACATGGCAACATGGGCCAACATGGGCAACATAAGCCGCTAAGCCAACATTGCCATTGCCAACATTGGCAACATGGGCAACATGGGCAACATGGGCAACATGGGCAACATGGGCAACATGGGCAACATGGGCAACATGGGCAACGGTGCAACATGGGCCAACATGCCAAACTCAAGTCTTCAGGCGGGCTCAACTTGGAACACTGCAACATGGAGCAACACACCACAACATGACACATCAAGTTCGAAGCACAGCGGATGCAACAAGACCTGCACATTATGCGCCATCATGACATGTGCCAGCAAAACAAATCAAAGCAACAAGTGCAACATGCCCCAGCAAATGTAACGTGGACCAGCATGATACATCGAGACGGCCGACCAACATGAGGCAACAAGACATCCAACATGGGCCAGCAAGGCATGTTTGCAACAAGTTGGGCAACAAGGGCCAAGGGCAGTCATGACCTCTGCTTGCCTAAGGAACTTGAACCTGCAGCCAAATCACATAGCAGGCAACCATGCAAAACACTTCGGGTTGTCCTTCAGCAAGTCCATCTCTTCCTTGTCCAAAAGATCCGTGTGAAGAACTGCAGTTGTGCCCCACGCGTGCCGCTCTGCGGCATGCTCAAGAAGCGCCTGTGTCCCTGGAGTGACCAGTGATGAGCAATGCAAAATCTCGTCAGCTTCCCACACACGCGCATGTCTGATATGGGAGGCTTGTGTTGCTGGAAGAAGCCACTGGCTCTGCAACTCCCCTGAAGTCCTCTCCAGCATTGCAACTGGCATTGCAAAGGTTGCAGCGGCCTCAATTAGGGGTTCCGTTGCGCAAGTCTGTCTGCAAAACCTGACGGGCCGGCCTTCAAGGCTTCAAGGCTTTAAAACCCGACTTGAGTTAGAGTTACTTAGTTTTTTCTGACCTCTGAACTTCTGAACTGGAAACTTGCGACTTTGCGATGATGGCCTGTTAGTTGGCGCCAATGTCGCCAAGCACAGTTTGATGACCTTTCAGCTTTCAGCCACCACCAGTCAACAACTGAAGAATTTACTGACAACGCAAAACATTGGCGCGCCTTCTGGCTCATCAGGTCTGACAGTCTGACCCTGACCATGGTCTGGCTTGCAGCTGGGCAATCGCATGCCAGCCAGCCTAATGGTTCGACGAAGTCGAAGGCAAACCTTGGCGGCCTTGGCGAGGATGAGGTGGACAGCTTGCGACTGCTCCGACTGCGCTGCGGCAAGAAGCGCAAGGGCCAAGCTGGCCAACCCATTCCTGGAACGCTGACACAGGGAAGCGCAGCAACCATGGCAGCTTCAGGCCCCCTGACGCCAGAGGAGTACTGCGCGGACTGCGCGGAAACTGTGTCTGAAGACGACGATGAGTCTACTGATGGCAGCAACTTGGATCTCGAAGACCCACGATCGTCGCAGTCGCCGTCGTCGTCGTGGCCATTGTCATCGCAGTCGCAGAGTGAGGCTTCTGAAGCCCGGGCCCAGACGCCAGGGCCGCCAGGGCGCAGAACAGAGCTACAGTGCACCTCTCTCTGTAGAGGGGGTTTCCCAAATGGCTTATATTCTACCTGAGAGGCTCCCAGCACTCGTCCGTCCAGCATTTGACCTCGTCCTGCGAAGGATTCGAAATCTAAAACGCTGCGTGCAGGCGTGAGGCTGCAAAATAGAGACCCCTAGATATGCTTGCAATTTGGCTCCAGGTTGCATTTCAAGCGAGCCAACCTTTGCAGGGCTAAGAAAAAAAAAAAAAAGAAAACAAGGGGTCCCAAAAAAAGGGGTCTCTATTTTGCAGCCTCACGCCTCCGGCAGCGTTTTAGACTTCGAATCCTTCGCAGGACGAGGTCAAATGCTGGACGGACGAGTGCTGGAAGCCTCTCAGGTAGAATATAAGCCATTTGGGAAACCCCCTCTACAGAGAGAGATACCGGGGATGCAGGGATTCCCTGCAGTATCCCTGCATTGAAATTCCCCCAGGATTCCTTGCTATACGCTTAATTTCTTCAACACAAGTGCCAACACAATTGCCACTCGTGTTCACATTTCTGCCGCGCCAAGCCGCGAAACCTCCACTTTCCCCGGGTTCCTTGCTATACGCTTAATTTCTTCAACATGTCGGAAAATGTCGGATGAACATGTTCTTGGATTCAATCCTGTTGTGGCCCCAGGATTGCTCCCTTCAATCCTGTTGTGGCCCCAGGATTGAGGGGAACTCCACGCGGAACTCCACGCGGGCAGCAACCAAAAAATGGTTGGTGCCTGTTTCCAGGCGCGCCTGACACGCCAGCCCGCCGAGTCATACGAATCATACGGATCATACGGTCATACGGCTTGGGTGCGCCACCCTGCCGCGCCTGCCCGGCATTGAAGCCGCGCCAAGCCGCTGAACCCCCACTCTCCGCCGGGTCCTTGCTATATGTGCTATATGTGCTATATCTTACACGCCAAGCCGCTGAACCCCCACTCTCCCCCGGGTCCTTGCTATATGTGCTATATGTGCTATATCTTACACGCCAAGCCGCTGAACCCCCACTCTCCCCCAGCTCCTTGCTATATGTACTATATGTGCTATATACTCTGTACGCGCGAAAATCTGTACTATATGTGCTATATAGGGCCATATAGCACATATAGTACATATAGCAAGGAACCCGGGGAGAGTGGATGTTCAGTGGCTTGCCTTGTGAGATATAGCACATATAGCACATATAGCAAGGAACCCGGGGAGAGTGGATGTTCAGTGGCTTGCCTTGTGAGATATAGCACATATAGCACATATAGCAAGGAACCCGGGGAGAGTGAGGGTTCGGCGGGTTGGCGCTCCGTACGCGCCGCATTTTGCGTGG